GAAGACGACCCCCAAATCTGACCCACACCACTTTTCTTAGCTGTGATACAACATACTTCAACGGGTGCCTAGTTAAAAAGAAATAAGGAACTATGCCTTTCTGTCCTACGCAGCAGAGGGCAACACATTCAAAAATATGCACTCATCTGACTGAAAACACAAGGGAAAAAAAAAGTCAACATAAACCAAAATAGCTGTAATGAAAATTAGCAATAATTTCAGTTAAGCACCATACAGTTAAGAGGACTGTGGAGACACAGAAGTCTATGAAAAGTCCCAAAGGGCAGTAGGCATGTGCATGTTCAAAACCATCCCACACTATTGATGGTAACCACATGTTTTTATGGCTTCTAGCAAATGCTTTTGATCACATCGCCAAGACTCTGGCTCCTAACTCATCTCCTCAGAATTCCCTGAAGCAGTCGGAGTCTTGGACCAGAATCACTTCACTCTTTTATTTAGCTTCACATTTCTTTTCAAGTCAGTCTGTCATACAATAATTTCTCAAAAGTAAAAAAAAAAAGTGTTGTTGGTTTTTTTTTTTTAAATGTCTGCCTCTCCTGACTTTATAAAGCACACAGATCCTCAGCAGCTAAACCCAGATTTGCTGTTAGATCATCCAGCGTGAGTTCCTGCGTGTCACAGGACTGGGAAGCGTTAGCCAGCTGCTCTCCACCGAGCCAAACGGCTTGTGTTTGACTAAAGCACGGCTTCTAAAAATGTGTTCCATTTGAACTGAAGACTACCAACAAAGAACCCAATTTCACATAGGTATCCTTGCTAATGATTAGCCAACCACCTTGTTAAATATTAATGCTATATTTTCTACCTGCATCTGTCTGGATTCAGCTTCCAGCCATACATTCCTTGGAATCCACCTTTTGATCACATTAAAGATACTGTTAACACCCAAGACCCCTCAAAGGCACAGAAACAATGGAAATCTGCCAGTCTTTCTGCCATCCTCATGTTTTATCATCAGTTTCTTTATAATTATTTTCAGGTCTCTGATGAAAATGCCAAACAGCACTAGGCTAGGTTCAGACTTTGAAGAAACCAACTAAAAACCTTCCCCATGCTCCCCACCGACAGCTGTTCGGGGTTTTTTTCTTTCTTTACATGTCTCAGATGTGCAGTTTCATATTCTCTGAGCATACAGTGCTGGAGATCTTTTTAAACAGTAAGTTACTTGTTACCCCACCAGGGTATCTTATTAAAAAAAAAAACTAAGAAAATTATATCAACCCAGTAATTTTTAACCAATTGTTAATTTTCTCAAAGAACAAAATTGGCTTTGAGATGGCATATTTTCTTTATTTTTTAGAAAAGGTTAATATTGTTTTATCACCAGCCACATGTACCAAAACGTATCTACAAAAATAGATCTGCCAAATCAAACTCTCTGTAACAGGACAGCTTTTCTTTCCATATTTTACAGACAGGTGCAGTGAGAGTATTCAGCTCTGGTTTGAAACAGACTCCCACCAATATCCCCTGTTAGGCTTAATTGGATCGGATGCTGTGCTACGTGCATTCAAGATCCCACAACTCCGAGGCGTCTAAAACAAGTAGAACTAAGTATTTGATTAATATTTAAACACAGCAAACTGCCAAATATTGCAGCAGATAAGTTTCTTGGGCAAGATTTCCCTGACAGGATACCAGTAACTTCCACTGAAAGGAGCCACTGATACTTACTTGTATCCTGAGGGGGAGAATCAGAGCCCTGGAGATCTACTTAGTTTTCTGCTTTCTGTGCACATAAAAGCAGAATACATAACAAGGTCACGACAGGCCAAAAATAGCAAACCTTCAAGCAGTTGCAATTCAAATAGATAGCAGATCTGCTGGAAAGCAAGCAGCTTGACCAGCATGCAGAATTTCTGAAGATCACTACTTTTATAACATTTTTAATTTTACAATCTTTCTTAAAAAGTCAAGAAAAAACATCAGATACATACTTTTCAGGGTTTTCCACTTCTTCAGTAACAAAATTGAGGTAAAACCTAGAAAATAGTTATAACATACATTGTAAGGGTTTGGTAGATTTTGATCTGTATTTCTTTCCCAAAGAATCAGGAAGATGCTTTTCATTAAGTACTGCCACTAACTATAGTACACTTTGCAGACCCATGTTTGGATTAAGGAGAATGTGAGATTTAACCTTCCCTCACCCCCACACTCAGGAAGGGAAGCCCACTTTTGAACTCTCAGAAAAGACAGCAAAGCAGGAAAAAGACAAAAGCTATGTAATGTCAGTGTGGAATTAAATTATTTTTTTTTCCCTGACATACTAGGCAAATTATAACCTAATCCTATACACAAACACACATGCACCCTCGAGCCCCATTCTCTTTGTAGCTTTTTACAATTTCAGGTTATATTGGCAAAAAATCTGATCAGGGAGACTCAGCAAGGACTTTTCAACAATAAAAATAAATGAAGTCTCAAAAAACCCTCTTAAAAGCAGGATTTTGACACTAGTGTGTTGTATACGATCGCAAACCCAGGCTGCTAATCCTGCGTGCTCTTGCACAACCTCCAGCACAAGTTGCACTCTGGTCACATTCAAGAGACAGCTACGTACAGGAGGGAATTCATAGGAACTACTCGCTGGGCATAGCCCTGCATACAAAGCAACCGTCAGCCTCAAGGTCACTGAACCCACTGTTCGGCATTTATTAGCACTAGGTCTGCGCATCGCTGGATCACACAGATGCGCCTGGCTCAGGTACGGGCACAAAGTCACATCTTGGCTAATTAACCAGAGCAGTCGATGCAGGGCTTTTGCTGCCTTTCTACTTTTAGGATGGATTCAGGAAGACAAATGATATCTGACCCAACATTGCTATAGTGAATAAACAAACGATACCTGAAAGGCTGGGAAGTTTTCTCCATCACAAGTCTTGGACCACATCTGGGTTAGCAGAATGACTTAGCTCATTATTTTAAAAAATATGATTCTGTGACCAAGCATGGAATTCTGTAAAACTAGGTTTGCCATCTTATGCAATCACCTCAGTACTTGCTTCTAAACTCGCTATTGCACAGAGCCGGTTGGGATAGTTCAAAGGAGAGATGGCTTCTGACAAGTAAGACATTCAGCTATTTCTTAACAGTAATTACAGAAGTAATTTGACTGCCCTGCATCAGTCCTTTTCGAGATGCAAAGACATGCTTCCTTGCACTCTTTTCTCTCCTTGTCCTTTTTCACCCAGCATTTTACATACCCAACAGCCTACTCTTGCTCTTCACAGGACGAACCCACACACATAAGCAATACTACCTTTGTTTTGGTTTTTAAAGCTGTATCATTAAAACTTAATAACCCCATGGGCTATGCATAAAATTCTGCCTGCATTCTGGGACACAACATCAACACTTGCAACACTCCTTCACATTCAGTTTATTAGATTGATTTAGCCCCATGAAACTGATAGTGCAAGGGTATTGACACTCCACTTAATGGTCTGCTCTTCTGTGCTCTGAGGCAATCAATTTGAGCTGGTGGCAAAGACAAATAGGCAGCTGGGAAGAACAACTAGCCAAATTAGATCTTTTCCTGCTAATTTCTTTATAAGTGGCAAATTAGGACCTTGAAATAAAAGTCAGAGAGTGCAAAGGAAAAAGAGAAATTATTTTTATTGTAGGGGTTTGGAAAGTTAAGTGGAAAATGCAAAGAAATGGGAAAGAAACAACAGAAGAACGGGTTTTGATGTAACATTTCACAGTAAACAAACCCTGCCTTAGTGCTGAATAATATTCAAGAGCTTTTAAAATTGCCTTCATACAAAAATGTACAGTTATGGTAATATTGTAAAAGCGAGATGCCATCACATGTACGGTTATGAGAGACAGAGGCCGTTATATGAGAGAGCAGGAAGAAGGTAGACGCTGTCCGCATAATGAGTTCAATTTCTTTGAGGCTTCCAAATGCCAGGCTCTTTTCTTATATATCTATCACAGATAAAGGCTTTCAACTCTCTCGGGCTTCGCCCCCCACCATTTAATTCAAAAGTTCTGTTCAATACTTCAGTGTGCATGTCTATAATGCCCCTGCAACCAGGGAGTTACAGACCAACAGAGAACTCAAACGTTCAGCCCATTGTCCCTCCGAATTAAATAAATAAAACCCTTATCTCTCAGCCCTCGCCTTTTGTGCAAAGGTAAGAACTCGGCTGCCTGTGAGGCTGTGGAAAGGAAAGGGAAGACCTGCAGACAAAGCTATCTCAAAATAAGCCCACTCTGTGCATTGTAGACCTTTTTTTTTTTTTTTTTCTGCAGGATGGCTCTGTGCGATGTGGAGCCCTCGCTAAGCCTGAATAAATCGTAAGGCAGATTCGAAGAGCAGCAGCGCCTTTCAAACCAGCTGCTGTGTACTTTGGCAGGGGAGAGGGAAAGAACTTGAAAGAAAGTCCTGAGCAGGATACTTGAAGGCAGATTCTCATAGCTTTGCTCACAGTCAATAGCACTTGACTTCTATGGAAGCCAGTTGCACTTCTTGCTAAGTGAGGTCCAATTCTGTCAGAGCAAAAGGCGTCAGAATCTAGTTTTTGCCTTGTTTTGTGGTCTATACTGAAGGTACCGTTGTTCACTTCTTATTCTTCAAATACTGCTTTTACAAAGCACAGGCTGAGGTCCACACAAGTGGGATAGAGACCCACAACTGTGCAACAGCTCACAGATTTGTTTTTCATGTAATTAATTTGTTCAACAAAAATTAAAGCTTCATTATCCCTTTTATCAAAATACCTAGTGAAAATTTAAGAATGGTCCTTTCTTGTTGCCTTTATTTCTAGTCTTAAGAACAGAAATAAAATTCTGATTTTTTAATAGTGTTCAGTGAGTGTTTACCTATTGTACACTGTAGAAGAAAAACCTTTCCTTTGTAGAGCCGCTTGCAGAATAACTACTGAACATATGGAACAGTGGTGAGATCCACCCTTACTACATGATAGATGTTTGGCAAAAGATGTAGAATGTGCTACTCATTTCTCCATATAAATATACATCCTTCTTAGAGGATGTAGTCTGTTTTCAGGACAAATACTTAGAGGTTTCAACAACTTACCAGCCAGAGTAGGCATACATTCCTGAGTAGAAAGCAAGTGGTAATCCCTTAACACTGGCATCATTCCCCGCAAAGGCATTTTTAAAGTGCTGTGTTTCTCCTGCAACATCAACAAAAATAATATTGACAAATAAGCTCTTTGGTCACCTACTACTTTAAAACAAATAAATATATCACACCACGGAACATTTAATCACCCAGCAGTTCCCTGACTTCAAGTTCTGCCCTTGACCTTCATTTCTGCACCGACCCTTGCAGCCATAACCTGCCAGCAATTGTGAAAGTTTTTGTGGCGTCCCTAGTAACGCAACAGCAGAATTTGACCTATTACTTTTTGTCAAAGCATTCTGAGCTTGATGATACTCACTGCACTGTCATCTCCAGCAGTGACTTACGTCAACATGAAAGAGCAGAATGAGCTCTGTAAGTTTTTGCTGTGGAAAATTTCACTTGTGTAACATTTTAATCAGAAGCATTTCACTCGCAAGCAACATTTTTAAGGTAAACAAGCCCAATATCTCAAAACTTTCTACCACTGAAAAATTCACTAACTCCTTACCACGTTATAGTCAGTACTGTATTACTACTGCACTAAGTAAGAATTGCACATCTATAAATGCAAACATGTAAGAGCTGTGTTACGCTCTTATTCATTTAGGTACTCTGTGGTTTGCAAGATGTCCCTAAAATATCCCAAATTTCCTGAGAAGCAACAGTGCCCCACAGAAAAGGAGCAGGAAGAAGCAGAATTCATCCAGACTTCAATGAGCAATAGGTCAAGTCTTCTACTCTTTACTCGGTTTTTACTGAGCCCTCAGTCAAAACTCCCACTGAAGGGGAGGCTTTTTGGTTAAGAGAAGAGCTGTGGCCAGAGGAAAGCCCATGTGGGGAATCAGGGATGCTATCTGAGCTACTTAAGGGCAGCAAAACCCATCCAAACCTGGGTCTGACCTGCTGCAAAGGTCCAGGAAAAGTGGGACAGATGGGAACAGAAAGAAATTTTGCACATGAAAGGAGGTGAGGGAAGAGGCACTGCAAATGCCAGAAAGGAAGTGAAAACCATGAAAACAGAAATAGTGAATCAGCAGAGTGCTACACAGGAAAAGTTTTCTTTCAGAGTCTATTGCTAACCACAGAGAGCCGCCTGTCCCCGAGAAACCCTGAGCTCTCCGCAGAGCCTAACGCTGAGCTGTTGACTCGGAGGGAAGGCTTTGTGAAGCATCACAAAAGAGCATCCCCAGGGACCGAGCCAACAACTGTGATAATTTTTGTTAGATAAAATCTGGCACCAATTCATTAAAACGCGTTCCCCCTCCTGACCCTCTGCGCTGAATGGCTCCGCGGGCTTTGTGCAGTTATTGTCTGATGGCACTGTAGTGAGAGAGAGCTGGGGCTTGTCACCATCTCACCCGCTGCTGACGGGGCTGTCACGGAAGAGCATCTTCAGGGAGCTGAGCATACGTCCATGAAGAGTTTCTCTGCCAGCATGGTTTTATGAGAACGACTTCCAGAGGGCCAAGAAAAGCTCTGCACAGCCATGTCCCTGCTGGGTGCAGCTGGGGAGAGCAAGGGTGGGTTTTCACACTCCTTGCTCATGCAGCAACACCAACCAAGCCTACAGAGTAATTCTGGCCCTCCAAAAACTTCTGCTTTCCTTTCCCTATGCAGGATGAGTGTCCAGTACTTGCAGGCAGGCAGCCCATGACAGCAATAGCTAACTATCTTATCTCTTGCCAGTACAGCACCTTCATTGTCACGATTTACATTGCCAAAATGGCAGAACAGCATCCGTGAGACTGGTTTTTTGTATGCATTCCCCGATTCTGAGCCCCCTCCGCCTCCACAGTACCAAACAGGACTAGGCACCAGCCCAGTTAAAAGAGACATATTCTGCCTGGACTAGGAGTGTGCTTTGGGGAGGGGGCTATGCCCATCTGTCATTAAAACTGATCCTGCCCCTTTCACAAAGTTCATGTCAAAGGCACTTTACAGAGAAGAGCAATCATGTCACTCTTTTGAAAACCTGAGTCTGATCTGAATAGACTCATTGGCATGCTGAAGGAAATACCAGTTCATCCCAGTGTAGTTCCACCTCTAATCAATTACATGACAGTACAGAGCTTCAGTTAAACAAGCCCAGGCTAATTAAGAGATTTTGCTGCTATAAGCATTATTTGGTGGAGGCAGGTGGGGAAAGACTGGGGAGGGTAAAGATAAAAGCACTTTAAAAGCATTTACTTTTCATTTCATACCTTTAATTAGCTGGATAACTCCAGGGACTATAATTATCAGAATTGCTACAAGCTTGCAAAAGGTAAGGAAAATCTGAATGCGGGCACTCCAGCTGACACTTGTGCTATTCAGGACCATCACCAGAGCTGCAAGGGGAAAAAAAGAAAAAAGTCAAAAAGAAATCCTTGTGCTGTTGAACTCTTTACCAGCAGAGAGGTCATACAAATGGATCCTGATGCATTAAAGGAATACACCTCCATAACCTTCAGCAGCTGCTGCGCTCCCACCTCTCACGTTCCCCTTCCAGATGCTGAAAAAAGGCTTGAGCTGAGCCCTTTTATCTGACCCGCTGCACAGCCCCTCCATCCCTCCACTCTCTGCCGGGCTCCCTCCACACCAAATGACAGCTTCGGTTACCCAGAATGGTTAGCTGTAACCACGGGTTGGCAAGACCCTGCCTTGGATGAAAGAAATCTAATTGCCCAACTCTTGTCACTCCAGATTTCTGTATCAGGGCCGGCTTGATAAGAGATGTGCTTTTTCAAAAAAAAATAACGATTAATAGCCACATTAAAATTTCTCACTCCCACAAGTTTCTCACTCACTACCTTATTTACACCCTCTCCTCTTTTTCACTCTTTCTCCCCCCTTACAGCTGTACCACCGGAGATGCAGGAGAGCCAGAGCACAAGGAACGTGCCTGTCCTTGTTGGGAATTGGAGAAGAAACAGAGACCTTTTACCTCTTGGAAAAAAAAAGAAAAAAAAGCCCAGGTCTGTGCCTCACCAACATGTAGAGACATAAGCGAGAAGCGCTTTGACATCCCGCCTGCTCTGCTCACATCTCCTTCTGGGTCCGGGAGGGCAGGTTCTGGCCTTTGCTACAGCCCTGACTGGCAGGAGAGCAGGAGGTCCCACCATCTGAGTGCCAGGTATTCTAGCTTATCTAAACAATTACCCTGGCAAAACAGAATCGATAAAGGAGTTTAGATATTTAAAAAAAAACCCCATATATTTACCTAAAGAATGGAAAATGTGAGTCATTTCATCAGATAAAAAGCCCTTTTCCCACTCTGCTGCAGGGGAAGGCGAACGTGGTAAGACAAGCCCTCTCACCGATCTTCTCTTTCTTGCCATCCCATGGAGCTAATGAATTCACTTCACATCACAGTCCTCCCTCACTTCAAACCCTCTCAAGAGCACTGGTTTGTCCATAGCATCAACCACACCATAGGATGCCTAAAACCAAAAGTTATCTCCTGCCGGCGTCTGGGAGCTAGTTTTTATTAGCTAGCGCTGGAAGCCTGGCATGGTACAAGCTTTCTGGAGGCCAAACCATCTGATTTATCCCGTGCTTTTTATACAGATTCTGCCCACCAACAAGGCCAAAAAATATATTGTAAAAAATTCTCCTCAGTTTAAGCCAAAAGTAGTTTTGGTTTAATGGAAGAGGGAGAAAATGCCCAGTAACCTGCATTCCAATATATTTTTAGATATTTTGAGTTTTTAAGAAATCCAGAAAAATATAAGAAGTATTTTCTGGAATTTTTCTTTGGGAGATGGCCCCATATGCAAATGAACAATTTACTAAAGTCAACATAAACTCACAACATCACTTAATGTGATTTTTTTCCACCAAAAGAGACCTTAAAGGTCAAAATGTTTTTCCAGTTCTGCATTTCACTGTATTTCAGAACTGAGGCATTCTTTTCTGACTTACAAAGAAATCACCCCAACTTCTTCAAAGTATCACTTGAGATCCAAGTACTACTTTTTTGCTTTATTGCTTCTGTGTATACATATACTTGGCAGGAAACAGAAGATCCCAGGGGTCTGTTTTATTATTTTATTGTCCCAATACTACCCTGACATAACTGCACTTATTTAAGTGTCGAAAGATGCCCTTAGGTTGATGATGAATATTAGTGCTGATTGAAGTCCTCTTTTCCTAGGACTTGATTACCAGGCAAAAAGTTAGAAAAGGTTAACTGTCATCTAAGCAAAATATATTTAAAGTACTCATTTGACCAACAGTGTTTAAGTTATGAAGAAAACCCAGTGCCATAAATAAGCAGTAGCTTATTTCAAATTTCATGGAAAGTTCAGTATGTGTCACACTTTTCCTTCTCTGAAGATGAAGCCCAAGCAGGGACTGGGTCACGAGAAAATGTCGAGGAAGAATTTTATGTGTAGGACAACATCTGTGATTTCACATCCAGCTTATTCAGAATTCAAGCTCACTGCAGCAATTGGTCTGTTACCTTACTCAGGTCAGACCAGGTAAGGTGAGCATCCTCCTTGCAGAGGAGTTTTTTAATGCATCAGTTTCATCTTCCCGATACACACATGAGCACATCACTGGATGGCAAACTGGCACAAACACCAATATCAACTCACATGGAAACTCATAACCTTCCTTGCTGGCCAGCCACACGCTAATCGCAAACCACACATCTGTATGAGAGTCACATTGGCTTGAAAGAAAAAAAAAAAAAAAAAAAAAAACCCAGGGGCATATTTTCATGAGGACAATCTGCTTGTGAGCAGGTTGAGTTAAACTTTCTCCATCCCTGAGTTCAAGCCAGTAAAAATGTTTCATCTGAGGCTTTCTAATCAAATAGCAAGAGCAAAACTGACTCTGCAAAGACCTCCACTGAACTGGGAAGGTAAAGGGATGCTGTACCTGCAGTCAGTCCAGGCACGTGCCATTAGCTTTGATGATCCTCCATAACAGTACGTCCCTTGCAGAGTTGGGCGACTGCACAAACGTAATAATTGAGATTGCAGGGCTGAAACTTCAATTCTTAGAAGATTTGAGACCAATTTGATTTTTTTATTCCATTTAATTGGACTTAACAGGCTATAAGACTCCACAGCCTTCTTATAATAGTCAGTCTTAGCAGCTGCATGTCCATAACAGGGATGTGGGGCTCACACTTTTACCATGTGTCTGCACCATACTGCTTGTGCTAGCAACTGGATAGTGAAAGGCAACCAGAGATGAGGAGTCCTGAAGAAAGCTGATAAAGAGCAGGAAAAGAACATGACAACTGTGCCAGGATTCAAGATGGAAATGATATCTTGGGGCTATGATCATTATTCAACACCACTCTTCTATGAACAGGGTCTTATGGACATAATTCAAGAAACGGATTACAGATACTTTGGTACAGGATGACAGAAAGG